GATGTAGGTTTGAATGAAGATGATTGGATCCAGACTCGACTTGATCAACTAAACTTAATTGATGAAAAAAGACTTGTTGTTGTTTGCCATGGTCAGATGTATCAAAAACGGATGATCACGATTTTCAACAAGAAAGTCAGACGCCAAGTATATCAAGTTGGAGATCTGGTGATCAAACGCATTATCTTGCCACAAAGTGATCCCAGGGGCAAATGGACTCCTACCTATGAGGGACCATTTGTAATCAAAAAGATATTCTCCGGTGGGGCAATGATCTTAACCACCATGGACGGCGATGACCTGCCACACCCTGCGAACGCGGACATAGTCAAAAGATACTACGCATAAGAGACCCGCTAGGTTGACACACCTAGGCAAAAAAAGGGCATCCCGGCGAACCAAAAGGTTCGGGAAAAAATTAGGGATAAAATAAAAAAAATCTGTACACACGGCAAGTTGAAAACCCGAAAGGGCGACTTGGGCAAAAAAGGGTTTCCCGGTGGACTGAAAACCCGAAAGGGCGGTCCAGGAAAAGTTAGGGAATTAAAGCGTATGACTATGTCCCATCGGATCACTTTGAGGATAATCTCTTCACTGACAAACTCGGAGTTTCTGATCAATTCAATCATCTTCGGACGAAGCAACAAATAGACAAGATATTTGGATATACGGAGGCTATAGCAGAATGGGAACCTCATGGGGTTATCACACATAGCTATCTTTCTTTGTATAAATTTTCTTACTTTTATGGCACCATCCTCTTACTAGGATGTCTGTCTCCTTTGTACAAATACTTATTCAAAGTTAAATACAAAGATATCTCTTTAAAGTACAAAAAACTATTTGCCTTTTTCCGTACACTTGTGTTTTATTTGCAAAAACATCCAATGATTCGTTAATGAACATATGCATTTGAACATAATTATTATTTACAAATAAACAAAATGGAAAAGACAATTACTGACAGGTTGAAAGAATAGGAAAACGTCTTTAGGCTATTCCATGAGCAATCCCCACAGTACGTCATTTAGATCCCCAACGGAACTAAAACTTCAAACTATTAATTCCCGGTGGAAACCGTCCAGTTTCTCCAAATTCCCCAGCAAGTTGTTTCGAAGCCCGAAATCCAACCAGATAACAACTGACTTCTGATACTCCCCAACGGAGCAAAGACTCCCATTTATTAATCCCCAGTAGAAGTCATCAAAATTCTCTGGATTCCCCAAGCAGATTCCTCAAGCAGTGTACGTCATCGCTCTCACAATAGCATTTTGTCGATACTTCAATTTCAAGATATGAAGAATCCACATATCCTCAGCAGCAGTCAAAGATTTATTTTCCTCAATCATACATCATACAACAAATCAGCTTACATGCGCATACATTACATCCACATATCATAAACATTGATAAAACACATATATTGCATCATACATTTCATGCAACATAATTTTGTATTTCAGCTAACATTTCACCCTTTTCAGGATAAGATTAACAGCTACCATTAACCATATACTATCAGATACAGTTCAGATACGCTCCAGACACGGATGCCATCCTGATACCCATTCAGATTATGCAATCATGATACAGTTCAGATACGCTCCAGACACGGATGCCATTCTGATACTCATTCAAACTTCAAGTTCAGATACAGTTCAGATACGCTTCAGATACAGATGCCATCCTGATACGGGTCACTTGGTACAAACAGATTTTGTGTCACCATGTTCATGCTAAGGCAAAATCAAATCTACGTGTGTGTTTCTTGATTTTCTTTTTTCCAAATGATCCTTTCATGAAGTAGAACACAACGCAAAAAGAACCAGGTCAATTAGATGCTTGATGTGAAAATGGCATGGGTTGAAAGTTGAGATTGTGGTACTGAAAAACAAGTCTGACATTAGGTCAAACAGGTCATGACCTAGTTTTAGGTCTAAATGAACTTTAATATTTGAGGGACTTAGAGCTTGAATTGATGTAGAGGACATCATTTTATATATTTGGCGCAAATAAATGCCCAAAAATATTGAAAATTGAAGAAGTTATGGTGTTTTGACCAAAGGGCATGCTACACTTGATTTTAAGTCAAACCACCATGTTCAAACTTGTCATTTTTTATGTTTTCTTGTATTCCAAGGCATGAGGATGGTCATAAGAACTCAAAATGGTGTGCCCTTGAATAACATTTGATTAATCTTGATGAAACCTTGAGAGAAATGATGAAGAAGGCATGAAAATAAACACATGAACCTATCTTGAGTTAACTTGCAAATCAAGCACCAAACTTGAACTTCTTTTCGTCAATTAATTGGATGAAGCTTGTCATGAATGTGACCTAAGATTATAGGTCATGCATTGAAGTTGAAGCTATTGAGACCCAATGGTTGACCAATCTTTGACTTGAGGGACCAAAACCCTAAATTTAGAAACCATCTTGTTTTTTTGGGTGAAAATGCTTTACCTTGCAATTTAAGTAAAGGAAACAAAACATATTTTTGTATTTTGAATAAATTTAGTAAATCGTAAAAGTATGTAAATACAAGGATAAAAGAAAATACAAAAGGTGCTTGTGATCTCCCATACAAACATCCATAGACAAGAAGGTTAGGAGGTTACCAAATTTATACTTTTGATGAAATACAACGATATAATAAATAGAATCTTATGGATAAAAATTAGAATACGACACAACCATGCTAACTTCCTCTCTAAATCTATCATTCTTAGAGTCAAGATTACAAAAATAAACACTTTATTGTAAACAAAACAGTAATGAAGATTTTATACATTATTCAAGTTAATTCTATAATTTTTTAATACGAAAATAAATACTTTATTATAAATCAAATAGATGATATTGTTCATTATTCAGTTAATTCTATAATTTTAATGGTACATATTTTATCCTGTCAAATTCCTGAGGTAAAAAAAAAATACAAATTTAGATTTGTCTTTCTATAAAACTCATTCAATGTATTTCTCTTTTTTTAAGATATCTTTCTTAACCACAAGAAGAACGCACAATCAAAGATTTTAAGTAATATAAATCCAAAACAAAAAGTCAACAAACAAGTGTTAGTATGCTCATGGAAAGTGGAAACAACCATGTCTTTGGAAATTGACTGATTCATTAATATGAGACTCACAATACCATATCAACAAATGGCTCAATCAGCTTATCAAAAAGATAACTATCTCCTCATTATAACTTTTCTAATATTTGTTATGCCCCCTGGAATCTTACAACAATACTATCTATGCATTTTTTTCTACTAATATACATTTACTTATTATATTTCAACTAATTTAACTATATTAAGTAACTATTAAACAGAAAATTTCAATAAATAAAAATTTTATTATTATATATTAAAATCAACATAATTAATTGTTTTTCAACGACTGTTCAAATTCATATTGATCTAAATAAAAACCACAAATTAATTCAAAAAAATTAAAAAGTGTAAAAATATCGAATATTATTTATTAGATGTGTTTAAATATCGTTTTAAAAAGACCGCTCGAATCAAATATAGTTTTGGATTAATTTTTGAAAATTGATTCAAACCGAATCAAACATCGTATATATTTATAATTATTTATTTTTTATTAATATAATATATTGGATTAATTTATTATTTAATGATATTTAGTTTTTAATACTATTTATGTGTTTAGTTTTATCTATTTATTTTTATTATTTTATTTATTTCAATTATATTCAATCATTTTCATTTTCTAATATTAATTTTAATATGCTATAAATTATATATTATATCAATTTGATTATTTATTAATATTTTTATAATCTTAATTTTAATAAAAAATATAATTTAAATATTTAAAAACCAATTTAAATTAAACTACATAAAATTGAATTAAATCAAATTAAAATTTTTAAATCAATCATCTCAAAATAAATTAAACTGCAAATAAATTTATCTCTAAATTAGATGGGTTTTTACCTCGAAAACTCATTTAAACCGCACTAAAAAATACATTGAGAAACTAAAGTGGTAGGAACACTAATTTTAAGACTTAACTCATTTTGATGACAAGGACTCACTCTAATATAAATTCTCAACTAAAAAAGTTGCTCAATGCACTTTCACGTTTTCTGAAAAGCTACTTCCAGTAAAATGTCAGGTCAATTGTAACTCAAGTCAACATACACTCCCCCATTTGCAATATAAAAGTTAAAAAGAACAAAGAAGCAAAAGCTTAGGCAAAAAATGTTTAAATTGATGCTCAACATTTACTGTACAGGCTTAAAGGGTATTATCATGTGACATAGGCATAGGACATGCAAAGTATATTCCATGATAGCAATTTTTGATAATATGCAGGGAGCGGGAAATCATGTGACATAGGCATAGAACCTATAAAAGTCTCATTTTGTCATTAATTTTTTGTACCAAATCTGTAACAGGTTTTTCAAAGGAAAATGGATTTACTGAACTCACAAGTTCAGGTAGCGATACCGTCTGATACCGTCTAATCTCAACGGCCGATAATCAAAATTCAATTCTGTGATGACAACAGTCGCACCAGTGTTTCGAACAGATCATTTTACTCTTATAACTAAATGCGTCGCTAGATATCTCAAATGGGATTTTAAAAATTAAAAAACAAACACATGATAGAGAGTGCGTAAATAAACCAATAACAGAAAATCTAATCAAAATGGAGCTCTAAAAGCAATTGAATTAAAGTTAAATCAGTAAGCAACCAAAGTGGTTGGAATGTGTATAACTTATCCGATAAATCCAAAATTCCATGGTACAAAAGCTAGCTCAAAAGGCATAAAAAAAGACTATGTTTCCCTCATATGATCCTCCCGTGCTTCTCCAATAGGGTTTCGAAAATTGGATAAACAGAGTTTTTTCTGTCAATTTTCAAAATCTTACCATCCTTATCTGAGCATCCCTCTGAAGAATGACCCTATGAATGAATCATTCAATTAGTTCCAAAATTAAAGAAAACACCTACATTCAGAGTCAGCCACTTTCTCTTTTGCAGTTACCAGGTAACAAGTACTTGTATCTCTCTGCGTTATTTAATAAATATGCAGGAAGATGCACCGCAGAATAAGAATGTGGAATTGCTCCAAGTTTTCCAATGATCTCCTTAAACGTATACTCTTCAGGAAGCATGTCGAATAAGTCAGCACCTTTGCATATCACATTCTGTATCCGCTCAGGGCTCAAGTAATGAGGGAACCTCACCCGATCGTAGTGACTGTATGCTTTCATCTTAAACACAAACTCACTGATACGGCGGAAACAGAAACTACAATGCCACCCAGCATCTGATAGCAGTACATCAGACTGTCTATAGTGTGCATACCTTGTTTTGTCGGCCTGGTATCTGTGGATTGACGCTCTCCAACTTTTGTTGTCGAGAAAAAACTCGAAAGAGTACAAGTAATTCCTCAGTTGAAGATGAAGAACCGGAGGGATTTTGTCGCACCACCTCAAGAGATTAACCGTGTGTGCACTAGGAATCTCGTCAACATCCGACATTATCAAAAGATCATCATCTTCAATGCCTGCTATCCTCAGAAGCTGATCCAATGCAACTCTTTGATACGCCTCCTCAACAAACGGATTTTCCTTTTTCCTGAACCTCCCACCAATAACGCCATATGTCAGACGTGGCTCAACAAACTTGAACTTATCCCTATTGCGCGCGTAAACCAACGGTTTGATGAATCCCGTAAACGTTGAGTTTGATTCAAGAAGCACATATTGTGAAACATAAGGATACATTTCTTTCCATCGGATAGTAAGCATTTCAACTTCATTGCTAAACAAAACAGCGTCAAAGACACGTCTGGGCGATTCACGAATGCCCCACCCATGAAGTTTACAAAGAGACTCCATCGACACGTTCTCGTGATAATAGTGAGGAATTTCATGGAACGGCTTCGGTGGAGATTCCCAGAGTGGTCTAAAAAAGTACGAGATTTTCTGGCCGTGCAAATAGATTAAAAAGACACCTATTGGGATGATAACAAACATAAACATGTAAGTCTTGAAGTCCAATCCTCGCAAAACACACTTGAGTCTTCTTGACATGTTCAGGGCTGCAGGCGCTCCCTGCTGCATAGAAAATAAATAAATCTCTTATTCATCAAAATTTCATTAAACCAAAATCCGTAATTGTACAAAAATGACATCAAATAAAATCACACACACAAACCAATCTAATCTAAAATGCCAATCAGAACAGACAAATATTAATAAAACAACCATCATTCACCAAAACACATAAAAGGCAAAAGCATAGGAAAAAAGAAAACCCTAATTTGAATTGAACATAAAAAAAAAACCCACAATTCAAACCTCATAGGTTAAAAAACTTGAAAAAACCACAATGGCCTATCTATCAAAAGATAAACCCGACCCATCCACAATCTGTAATTTCAAAAAAAAAAAATAGAGAAATAAATAATCAAACATCAATACACATAAATAAAGGGGGAAAATGAAGAAGAAGACTATTTATTCCTTAAATTCATAAAAGATTCAATTGAAATTATAACAAATTTGAATTAAATTCTGAAGAAAAAAAAACTTTACACAACCCAAAGACAAAACAGAAGAAAAAAAAAACTAGTCAAGTTTCTGTTTTTGCACTGAAAACAAAACCCAGGCAGAGAAGAGAAACTCATAGAAAATTGAAAACCATGACCAATTTTTTAATTAAAAAAAAAACATTTTATTAGTAGAGTAGAGAATGAAATAATAATAAAAAATATTAATAAAAAAACAATACCTCTCCACAAACATCCTCGCAGATATCATCAGTCTTCTTCGAATTATAATAGCCCTCAGACATGTCGAAGAAGAACCAGAAAAGTTTGTGTTTTTTTTATGTGTTGGGATAAACGAAAAGATGAAAGGTGGCAAAAAAAACCCAAAACCCAGTAACGATCGATGTTATGTTTAGGGCTTAAATTAGTTTGTCTGAGTTTTGGTTGGAATTTGGAATGGTAAATGTGAATTGTAACGCCTATTATAGCCGTTTGGTGGGCGACGATACGATCGAATGAAAAACTATATTCACGCGATGGATATACACTATAACCTCCTTCACTATTTTTTAGCCTCTTTTTTTCTGTTTTTCTTATTTCATTTCTATACTACATTCAAATACACGTCACATTTTAATTCGAAGCCCTGCAAAACGAAATGGTCTTTTCTTATGACATGTTAGTATGTTATAGGTTGTTATACAATTATCACTTCTGAAGTAATTGTCAATAAATGAAGATTAAATGTATATTTATTCAAAAACGACCATATCGTAAATAAATTTTAAAAATAGATTGCTTTTTAAATTCTTTGGATTACACACTAAACAATTAAAAATGTTGAGTATGTTAACGAGTTTTTTAATAAAATATTTGAATATTATAAATAGATATTAATTGTTATTATACCCGTTCATAAATAATATTACCTCTGTTTTTAATTATTATTTTTCAAAACATTTTTTTAATTATATTACTTTTTTTTTTGTAATCAGTAATAAATATATATGTATAAATATTAATTATTCTTCTCTCTTAAAAATACTTATAAAATTATATAAATAATTAATAAATTTAATATTTTAATTAACTTTTTGAATTAGCATAATTTTATCTAAAAAATCTTAATATTGAACGATGGATGTAGTAGTATTTTAAAAATAATTAAAATAATAATCAAACAGTTATGAAAAAGTTAATAGCTATAATTGATTGTATAAAATATTTCATATCAATTAAATTTTTATAGATATTATTAAAAGACTTTTCATTGTCACTTTTGTAAAAAACATTAAAATTAAAATTTTTAAAATCTTATTTGCAATCTAGTCTAAAATTCAGAATATATAATTTAGACCATCCTATAAATGTCACTATTAGCATTAAAACGTGTATGTTTTTTTAGTTGATAATCTACTTCCTCTTTATTATTTGAAAATTAATTTAAGCATTGAATCGCTAATTTTACCGCTCTATCCCACATCACCGTATCAGAAGAAGGCATATTGTATTATTATGGAGTTGTACTAATGGTTCGGGTTTCGACGTGAAACAATGGTGTCGTTTGTGAGAATCAATAATTGATTCCTACGATTTTTTATCATGTGATCTATGATCTGATAATTGACTGGATTCGATTATATTTTCTTTAACTCGACCAAATCTTCTCATTTCAGGTCTCTACCAATTAGACGGTCATGATCAAATGGACATAATCCTGAAGGTTTTCGGGTCGAGTTCTTATTCAACTTACTTCATCGATATAATTGGAGTAGATTCATTCATACAAAACAGATCTCTCCCTCAAACATCATGTAGATGTACATCCTCACACAAGAAACCAAAAGGCGATAGACCATTTTTGGGGTTTCTTTATTAGAAGAAAGTGGATGGAATTTTCAATGTTGCTCTTCCGCTAATCATCATTGTTAAGCATTATGTCTCTAGAGTCCTAGTGGATAATGTAAGTTCCTTTATTTTGATTTACTTCGAAATTTTTACTGAACTTGGTTAGAGGGAACAATATCTGAAGCCTCGTAAAGACCAAAGTCAACATGCTTTTAACGACTCTTTTACTCGTCCATGCAGACAAATAAACCTACTAGTCACATTGTGGCAATGGAATGAGAGAAGGGCGGTGAGCATCTGCTTTTTCGAGGTTCCATGTGAAAGTGTATATAACGCATCTTTGGTTGGTCATTCCTAACAACCTTAGACGTCGTAGTGTCTCTCGTGGACTTAAAGTTGAAGTATCACGACGAATCAGGTGAACCTATTGTAATCAAATTCGACCTTCACGGAGCTCGTATGATGCAAAAAGTGATAATGAAAAAGTGTACAAATATTGTTATCATTCTCAGAAAAATGAGGCTTGTGATGACATCGAGGCGACGAACATAACTGACTTTAACGTATGAGACGAAGGGCATCCCTTAGATGACTAATTGAAGTTATCGATCGGGATCAAAACAAAAAAATAGATACGGGTCCCATATAGAGACTGATCTTACCGGTTGATCAGAACCTGCAAGGTGGTTGGATGATGATCTTTAGACAGGCTGGAAAGTTGAGGAGGAAAAAATGGGGGGGGGGGGGGGGGGGTGTACTTGCAAGGAACTCTGACGATCAAGTAAGTGTGGGAGCAAAAGTGATACAAGCAAAATATTAGGGTGTTAGTGATGAATAGTTGATATTTGATACTTGGCCCTTATATGTGCGAGGATATATATAATGCCCCTGACACTTGGCCATTGGTTCCTATATTTGGGCCTAGATATGTGGGTCCGCAAAAATAGGTAACTTCCAAGACTTGGTCAAAACGGGCAGAAGTTCCCGCAACTAGCCGTTGGATCCGAGGAAGAGGCAGATTATGGGCAGATGGCCATTATGGACGGTTCTTGGTTGTTTGCTCGACTCGAGTCGGGCTGATGGGAGACAACTGCTGACTAGGTTAGGCGTGCATGTCAGGCATCGATGGTCGTATACCCAGGGGCGTGGTCAACCAGGATGTTGGGCCATTGTTATTGGGTCGTGCCAAGGGTAGAAGCGGATTTGGACAATTCTAGTCATTGTGCCAGTCTAGAACAGGAGCCCCCCAAGTCGTTGCTTCTGGGCACAAGAGTGATTACTTAGTGCCAGTCTGTGAAATGTTTTTGTGTTGGCACTGCTCGAGGGGTGCAAATGATGTTCGTCGCATTTGCCTCGCATGGAGGGGAACGATTGAATAGCTCGCTTCGAGGAGGATTTTTTTTGTGCGAGGAGTTCGGGGATTCGCCTGGTGTTTTATTACTAGGGAGGGGGGTCTGGAGAGGTTGTATGCCTTGCATGCATCGAGCCGCGCACTATCAAATATGTGTGATGATGGCTGGTCTTGGGGCTAAGGTGTGATGATGATGCCTTTTAGAGTTCCCCAGACATGTGTTTGTCTACGCGCTTGGTGGGCTCTATCTATAAAAAAGGGGAGAGAGCTCTTTGAATATTTTTCGCCATCCTCTCATCTGCTCGACATTTCTCGTTCTTGCCCGACTTCATCAGTTCCTGCTCGACTTCATCCTCTCCTAAGATTTTCGCTTATTCCGCCATTCACTGCCGTCTCTTTTTTCCGATTCTCCACTTAATCTGGTAAGTTCTTTTGGTCTTCTTTGTTTTTAGCATCTATTACTTTCGTTAGATTTTCGAGTTTCTAGAGAATGCATGTGGTTAGGGTTTAAGGCAACTGGTTTCTTAGGGATTCTGGTGGAGTGTTGGTTGGACACAGTGGTTCTAGAGGATGAGTGTGTTAAGGATACCAAGTGTCCTCCGTTGGGGAGTCTTTGGGATCTCAGTGTTGTTAGACGAATGTAGGAAAATTTTCATGCGGATTCAATGAGTTTGGTTGGGGAAATAAGATAATTCAGTAACCATTTGAGTGGGGGCTCTGGTCGGGGACAAGGTCCTCGTTCCTTGACGCCCTTTCACTTGATTAATGGTGGAAGGATGGATTTAACGTTGACGTCGAACTCACTTTCCTCCTATGCTTTTCAAGTACAATGACTACTAGCGACGACAAGTTTCTTAACGAGCCCAGTGGTTCTGCTGAGAGTTCTGACAAGAACACGTCCGACGAGGCGAGCACCTCGGGGGTGTATGAATCCTCGTCGGGGGCACTGGAGCCGGAGGTGTTCGGTAACAGGGATGCTGAGGGGGACGTGAAGGCGGATCCTGTTGATCAAGAGGGTCCTAGTGTGCCCGTGGATAAGGAGGGTCCACTAGCTCGCGTTGCATCGGGCCCGTCGAGGTATATCTCATATTTTATCGAGTATCATGATGAGATATTCACCTCGTCGGATATGGAGATGGATTGAGAAGGCACAAAGGAGAAATGGGAAATATATATTCTGACCAAGAGGAGCCAGATCTGCTCGTGGTTTGAAGCATGTCGGTTCCCTATGTACGAAATTGTGTTTAGAGAGATGCGTTTACGGCTCCCTTTCTCAGACTTTCAAGTGGCAATTTTCAGGCACCTTCTTCTGGCTCCGTCCCAACTGCATCTGAACTCAGTGGCTTTCCTTCGGGCCTTCAAGACCGTGTGCGATTATTTAGGGGTTAGGGACACCGTCCCTTTGTTATTTTATTGTTTCTACCTTCAAAGAAAGTTATTCAGTGCCTAATACGATTAGGTCGCTTTGAAGCAGGCGAATGGTAAGTTGTTCAAAGTGTACCTGTAGTCAGTTTATTTTTTCAAGGAGAAGTTTATGCTTATTCATCCCATTTCACAAAGGGCGTTTCTGAGCGTCTTCCATGTTGCTCCCATGTTCGACGAGTAAGGGGCTCTTACTCTGACCGAGGAGGGAAAACATGCGAACAAGTTGTTGCCGAAGTTTCCCTTTCACTGGAGTGATAAGCATTATAAAAGGGGAACCAACGTCTATGTTTGAAAGAAAGAGCAGCTTGGTACCGAGGACCCAACCAGCTTTGATCGTCTTACTGCCTTAGTCGCGGGGATTCCTCATGTTCAGCGTATGGACAGAGGGGGAAAATCGATCGTTGATAAGGACGGGAAGACGTTGTTCGACCTTGGACTGATAAGTGTCAAGGAGCTCCTCGAGAGCGAGGACCCCACGGCCTATCTTGGTAGCCGCTTTTGTGATTTGATTTTCTCTGTTCGCGTATATTCTTCTATTTTACTGACCGTTCTTTGTTGTTTCCTCACAGATAAGATGGATCCCGCCCAGGAGCGCTTGGCTCAGACGACCTCTTTCAACCTGAAGAAGGCACAAAAAGGTGCCAATGCTTCCTCACCTGATGTTGGTCCTATGTCAGGATA